AGAGGCAAAGTAGATGCTACACTTTTCATCAAAAGAAATAAGAAGGAAATTTTAATTGTTCAAATTTACGTAGATGATATTATATTCAAAGCCACTAATAAGGATCTCTGTCAAGAGTTTGCCAAGTTAATATAGGGTGAATTTGAGATGTCAATGATGGGAGAATTAAACTTCTTGGGATTGCAAATCAAGCAGAAGAAAAATAGGATATTCATATCCCAGACGAAGTATCTCAAGGAATTACTCAAGAAATATGGATTAGAAAATGCTAAAAGTATGAAAACACCTATGAGCTCAACCATTTCACTAGATGCAGATGAGAAGGGCAAGGACGTGAATCTAACCAAGTATAGAGGAATGATTGGGTTATTACTCTATCTCACGGTAAGCACACCAGATATTCAATTCAGTGTGGGAATGTGTGCAAGATATCAATCAGCCCCCAAAGAATCACATGAAGAAGCGGTCAATCGAATCCTCAGATATCTTGTCAGTACACAAAATTTGGGAATCTCGTATCCAAAGAAAGGCGCAGAATATCTAATGGGATACTCAGATGCTGATCATAGAGGTTATAAGACACACAAAAAGAGTATCAGTGGATAATGCCAATTCCTCGGAGGATATCTTGTCTTGTGGTCAAGTAAAAAGCAGAATACTATGGTAATAGCCTCCATTGAATCAGAATATGTTGTCGCTGCCAGCTGTTGTGCTTAGATTCTATGGTTAAAACAACAACTACAAGATTTGGGAATCAACTTGAAGGAAATTCCAATTCTGTGTGACAACAGGAGCACAATAAGCTTGTCTAAGAATCCAGTTCATCATGCCCGAACTAAACACATTGATGTTCGATATCACTTTATTCAAGACCATGTTCAAAAGAAAGATGTAAAAGTAGAATTCATCCCCATTGAATATCAAATAGCAGACATTTTTACAAAACCCCTTGACCAACAAAAGTTCAATTACTTCATAAGAGAATTGGGAATGGTAAATCCCAATGAGCTATAAGAAATTCCTCATTATCTCTCTAATTTAAGTCTTTAGATTTAAATTTTTGGTGATTAAAAGACTAACTTAAGCATCAGAGTATATAGAAATTTGTTTTGCAGGAAGCTCTGTTTTATTGGAGAAAAACAGAGGTAAACAGAGTACGGAATGATCGATGAAGACATCGATAATCATGCTGTAAGGAAGGGTTGATTTATCGATCAACTAATCAATAAATGAGGTATATGAAGCAAAAGAACAAAGTTGGAAAGAATATTATCGATAAGCTGATCAATCACTCAATTATTAATCAACACATCAATCAGGAGCAATGAGGATTTGAGACAAATCAGTCAATTGGGTAAGAATTATTGATAAGCTGATTGATAAACTATTAATCAATCAATTGATCGATAAACCAGACTAGGTACGCATTCCTTTAATTAACTTTTATCGGTAATGTGATCGATAATCCATTGTTCGATAGCTTGATCGATAATTGTCTTCAGTATTTGTAACATCCTAAATTTTGGCTCAGTATAAGTAATAGAACAAGGAAAGGATGATTACTAAGTCCAATATAATAAAAGTCCCGGAGATCCCTTAGAAGGAAAAAGAGATTTTCTAAGGGCAAATATGTAAAACAATAGTGCTCGGGGACTAAAGAATAATAAACTGGAAACAACTACGGGCCAGAGGTTATGCTAGAAACTTGTAAGAGATGGTTCCGAAGGTTAAGCCTAAGGAGGGACCAAATTGCAAAGAAAGGATTCCTAGGCCAAGTAGGGACCTAATTGTAAATAATAAAAATTCTGGTCGGCCAATGCTCAAAGTTACCAAAAGGCCCCAAATGACTTAGAAAAATTCCAGAAAAATGGGAATAGGATCCCAGAGCCGATATAAGGCTAGAAATAACAAAAATGCCCTAAAGTCATTCTAGGGTTTTGGACAATTTGAGATAGTAACTTAAATTGAATTATTTAAGTTATGAGACGGCCTCAAATAATCAGGAAAAACTGGGAAACAGTAGTTGAGGAATTTACACATATTGTAAAATTAATTCTGTCCCCAGAAATTGACAAGGTTAGCTTTAATTAAATTTAAAGCCTATTTATATCTTATCTGGGGAAAGTCAAAATAGTTGTCTGGAGTTTGACTTTTGACTCGAGAAAAATTAGAGGAATTTCCTGTGATGAAAGGGAAAGAATGAAACCTAGAGACAGATCAACAGAGTTACGAGCTAATAGAAAGAATTCGGAGAAGGTAACCCGGATTAAGTATTATTTAATAATATTTTGGGAAAAAGAGAAAGAAAATATCTAAAGACTATCATGACAGTACTGAGTCAGCATGCTGGGTCACCTAATGCAATCATGACACCTACATTAAAATGAAAACAGTTTGAACCCCTTTTTTTTAAATATTTAAATCCTTAGAGTAAAATTTAAGATGTTACATTATGCCTTGGCAATATATTATGAAAACATGTGATGTTTGGCTTACTTTCTATGGCATTCATATGTTAATGTTATGATAACATGTCATGCATTTGCACTATGCCTTGCATGCTTATGAGTAGTGTTTGTTATTGAGATTCTTGCGAATCTCATCATCCCTTAACAATCCCTAATAGGTGCCACAAGCTTGAAGGAAAAATCAAGAAGTGGAAGTGCAAGATAACGTGAAGAAACCAAGCATGTCTTATGTTTCCATAACATGCTATGTTATGTAACTATTATGTTAGTCGATGTTATAATCATGCCATGTATATTCGATGATGTTTAAAATGTTTATGGTATGTAAAATGGCATGAGATTATGTATGGAAATAGCATATGCAATGACAATATGGGAAATGCAATAAATGAATTTATTTGAAAATGTGAATTAAGTTAGGGAGTTAGAGAGTCCCTAAATGAGCCACGATTTGGTACCAATGATGAGACAGAGCAAATGAACAAATTTTGCCCATGAAATTTGGTGAGTATCTAGAGCACATCCTGAGCTTTAAAAAAATGGTAGATCACGTGAAATGGATGTGTATGCTAAGAGTTATGGCTGTTCAAAGTTGAGGCAGGACTTCTTTGAGGAAGGTTTAAGTCCAGATTGTTATTTTTTCCTTGTAGAGAATTGAAAGAGCTTTATGTGAAAATTGGAACCACTCTGTTTTGATTTTTCTAGAATTAGTTATGATTCTTCAAAGTTGGCCCCCAAATTGTGGAATGTGTAGCGAACCGTGATCGTACAATTTAAACTTTAAAACTTGATTTTCTAACCTTAAGGCCAACAAATATGGTTCCAAATGCTTCCGTATAATGCACTAAAGTGTATAAAAGTAAGGCGTGACAGTATTCTTGTGTGTTCTTCATATTTATCAAACACGTAATCGATCATGCATTGATTGATAACTTGATTGATAATTTTAGTGTTTATAACGTTCAGATTTTGAAAACCCGTCAGTTATCGAAGCCCTAACTTGATAAAACCATTCCCCTATTCTCGTGCAACTGTCTAAAATTCACCGTTTTATTAAATTACTTGTTCCTTTCCACTCGAAATCACTTCCTAAACTCTTCCAGTCATTACCAAACCTTTCAAGTCCACAAAACACCAAACATTCTTCAAGATTTCTTTTAGGCAACGAGAAATGGTGAGAGTTAAGCAACCGAATGTCAGCCAAGAGGAAAGCACTGAAAAACAAACCTAGTCCCGAGACACTACAAAGAAAAGATATAGACTGAAAGTGAGGGAAGAACCATTAAAGAAGAGAGGAGTATTGAAGATTTAGGAAAGTCAAACCGAAGAGCAACCCACTCCTCAGAGAAAATCTCCACAGTCAAAGTCAAAATCCAAGCTACCAATGGTTACTGAGGAGTCTGAAACAGAATCTGATAAGGAAGCTTCAGTTCAGAAAGCTGTAGAGGCTACATTACCAGTTCCTATCCCCAAGCAACCAAGACAGAGGAAATAGAAAGCAAGTGAGGGTACGTCACACTAAGCCCCTAGCCAAGGTATCCCCTCTGAACCATCTGAATTTCTCATTGGAAATTTAGAAAATGACATAAACCAAGTGAGATTCAAAGCTAATTTTGCCACCAGAAAATTCTGTCGAATAGTATCTGTAAACTTGGAAAAGAAAATCTGAAAACCAACGAAAAGATTAGATTGAATTTAGATGATCCCCTGAAATATTATTCAAATTGGTTAAGCATTGGAGGAGAATATTGCCTTGAAATAGTCAAATGATTCTATTGTAATATGAGCCCTGTGAAGAATATGATGAGGAGGATAACCTCGTGGGTGATTATCTCAAAACACACCTCAGAGGGAGAACGATTACTATTGCTCCTGCTAAACTGAATGAGTTACTAGGGACAGAAAACCATATGAGGGGAGGCGAAATGAATGATATCAAGGCTTACAAGATTCTATTACAGAATGACAACTTTCCTGGTGAGCTCAATTTTCCCCCCAAACAGATGTGTGATTATTATAGAATAATTCACTACATCTATTCTAGAAGCATGGTTAATAAATCTGGAAGCTTCTCCCACCTCAATCAAGATGACTACCTTCTACTGGTAAGAATAATCAGTGGGGAACAGTTAAATATAGGAGCTCTGATTTATAATGAAATGAACGACTTTGTGCTTAACAAATCCAAGTCAACTCCTATCCCTTATCCTCAGCTAGCTACCAATATGCTTCAAGTGCACAATATTGCACCAATGGAACCTGGTGAGATCAAAGTGAAGGTACCCTCTTTTAGGATAAATCTACTGAACAAGATGAAAATCTCTGTGCCCTTTAGACCTTCACAGAAGCTAGCTCAGAAAGATAAAGGGAAACAACCTGCGGCTAGCTCCTCAAGACCCTAGGATGAGGCAGAATCTACTGCAGCTCCCTCTCATACATCTAGACCCTCATTTCTGGAAAAATCAATTAGGAAAATATTCTAGGAAGAGCTTTAAGAATTTGAGAGGAGAGTTTATGTGACAGCTAAAGACTATGGGGAAGTCTCAAACAGAAAATTTGATTGTATTTCCAAAATTCTGGGTCTTCATCATCAAGCCATGGTAGTTCTGGAAAAAGAAGTTTCTTAGAGGTTTGACTATATTGAAAGGGAGATCCGAGATTTAAAAGGGGTGGTAGCCTCTCTCTGTAACAATTTCTCTACGCCTAGCACTTCCTTTAGTTTTGAAGACCTACTCTCTTACCCACCATCTTCTCCTCACCATGAGCTTGCACCACCTACATCACTTATACCCACTTCTCCTATTTCTACTTCACCATCTGTACCTTCCACCTCACCTCCTCCTCTTCTTGCTAGCCTAGCCATTATCATAGTTCCCCAACCTACTCCTTCCCTAACTCTTCTACCCATTTCTCAGACTATCTCTCCACTTTCTCAGTTTCCCCCTCTCCCTATTCCCCTTACTTTGCCTACTTCTTCCCCACCTTCTAATGGTGACAAAAGGGGGCAGAAGGAATCTGTTTAGTCGTTTGTCTAGTTGTTTAACTTTGATGATTTTTGTTATTTTTGGTTTTCATATATTTCTATTATATAATTTGAATTATGGGCTATCATTTGAATTTTGACAGCATTTAAATGTTATCAATTGTGCATTTTTGCCATTTTTTGACATTTACTAGTGAATATTGTTATCTATCATATGATTATGTTGAATTCCTAATCTAGCTGATTTTGTCTTACACCTGTGTTTTGTCGTCATCAAAACAGGGGAGAATGTTAGATTTAAGGTTTTGATGATAACAAATTGAGTAATCTGTGTTTTGGTAAGTTGATCGATCACCTGATCGATCAAGGGTTTATCGATCACTTGTCAGATAAATTCCCTGTGTAAATGAGTAACTTAGCAGAAATGTTAATTGATAACTTGATAGATGAATCAGTTTATATGTGTTGATCTGTCAATTGATCGATCATTGTTAACACTATTTTGTATAGAAGTCTGTAGAAAATTATCGATCAATTTATCGATAATCTAATGGTCAAAAAACTGTCAGATAATGGACACAATTTTGGTAAGTGTTTATCGATCACTCGATCGATAAATAGGTCATCGATGAAAAGACAGGTAAATGGTAAAGCTCTTCTACTTAAGTTATGTTGTTTCTTTCTTCATTTATTATCACTTTACCAATCAAAGATTTTTCGATAACCTAATCGAACATTGTTTAATAACCCAGTCGATATGTCTCTGTTCAAGGTTGTTATCTGGTTGATTAATCAATCACTTAATCGATCAGCGATTTATCGATCAAATGATCGATCATTGCTATCTCACTGTCTTTACGTTTTTAGTCATGTTTTTTGATCACCTAATTGATAATCTAATTATCGATGAAATGATTGATCACCCATATTTCTGAATGTCTTGTTTTCACATAACGTGATTGATCAAACATTTTCCTGGCATTTTAGAACTAAGTCTCTCTGTTATATTTTATCGATCACTTACTCGATCAAACATTAATCGATCACTTAATTGATCATTATTTGTTTTATGCCCTTTGAAAAAAATCTGTTAAATCTCTTTTATCGACTAAATTTTCCATCATTCATTTATTGATAAAGTACTTAATCATTGTTCCTTGAAAATCTATTTCTATCTCAATTTGCTTTATCGATAGCTTGATCGATCAAGCAGTTTTTGATCACTTGATCGATCATTGACTCTTTCTAGTTAAACATCAACAAGTTACCGTGATTCTCAAAATATGTTGATTATTTCTCTTCAAGCTTTTCTCAGCCTTCATGTTTATCTTAATTCTCTATTTTAAGGGATTTAAAATCAAAAGTGACCTTGAGCCTTTTCTCTACATGTTCATTTATCAATAAATTATTAATCTATAACTTGATCGATAAATAAACTTTCCTGTTTCAAATTCTTTCTATTTGATTAATCGATAATTTGATCGATCAACCAGTCATCGATCATACTTCGATCAAGGATGTCCAGTTCTTGCTCAATACATTTAGTAACTGATTGATTCCACTTACGATCTATGAATGTTCATTATTATCATTTGATCAGTTATGCTCCTGAGCTTTATTCTGCAAGAAAAACTTATTAGATTGAAGTATTATTACAAATTACGAAGAACTCAACGGTTATCCAACGGTTATTTAGTAGCCTGTAACCTACCATATCAGAGGCATTAATGGCGAAAACTGTTGCAACTGGAAAAACACGCAACCAAACTCTCAATGGCTAGAAGTTCTTCTGTCTAATGGTTATTAAACTTCTTCAACTATAAAAGGCGTGAAGAAGCATTGAATGCTGAGAACTGAATACGCGAGCTACCTTCTGAAAATAACTTACTGTTGCATTCAATACTATGTTCTTGTTTGTACTGGGCTTCAATGTTTCTCATCCATTTACTCTATAAGAGAGCTTTACATATCATCTTTAATAACTTTCTAAGTGAAACTCAAGAGTGTGGACTCTTGAGTAGGTCTATAACCTTAAGGGTAGTAAGGGGGAGTGATTAAGCGAATCAATCAGTGTACTGTGGCACCAAGAGCCCGATTAATCTTGGAACTTAGTGAAATACTCAGAGGTGTTCTGAGGACTGAACATAGGTCAAGTAGTTGAGACCGAACCAGTATAAATTTTGTGTCTACTCTCTATGGTGAAATGCTCTAACTTACGTTCTCTGTTTCTGTTTAGCTTACTGTTTTTAATTCGTAAAATTTTTATAACTCACCCAATTCACCCTCTTGGGTGAGACTGCCACTAACAATATGTATGGCTAGTCCTCTTTATTCCTGAGCATAAGATACGTGGCTTAAGTTTCTGTTTATATTGAGTTCCTGAGGACAAGAAAACCTTATACTCACTGCGCATAAGGTCTAACCTTGATGGTTATAAGATAAGTTAAATTAATTTATATTATCCAAATAAATTTAGATTAGAGAAATACTCCTCCAGTCCTTAATATAGGACTTAATTATTGAGTTGATTTTGGTCCTAAATATAAGACCTATTTCTTATATTTACCAATTTTTTCTAAATTACCCCCATGGATCTTCCTAAACCATAATCAAGTAGAAAAGAGAGAGAGAATATTAAGGAAGATGATTATGGTGTTTTAGGAAAAACATGTCGTATTTCTGATAATTAACTAACTTACCTAACTTCTTTAATCTAATCAAATTGGTTAAATAGGTCTTATATTAAGAACCAGAGGAGTATATATTTTGATCTATCAGGAATTAAATATGGATTCAAAAGCCAAATTTGTAATCTTGACCAATTAAGAGATATATGAATATTCGAATTCAAATTTCAAATTCAAACTGATATATTCAGGGGATATCTTTCTTGACTATCTCTTCTTTTACTCCTATATTCTTTCTTGCAGAGGTGCTCTACTGTGCACATAATGCTTAGACTCTAGTAGTCTAGCTAATAGTGTAATCTTTGAGACCTTATACACCTGGCTTGAAATCCGACCCGGTAGCTTTTCTTGATCTGTTCTTTAAATTTCCAGTAGTTTCAAAACACTTGGTCACATCGTAAGTAAACATCAAGCCCCTGTGCCTAAGTTGCAATCAACTCAAGTCAACAAGCATCCAACCTGAGTTAAGGCGTTCAACATGTTCTATCAACCATTACATTTCACTCAAGTAGATGAACATCAACAAGAGGCTACATATATCTCTTGATTAGACTATATGAATAGGTTCATTTCAAACCAGGCTCTAAGGCACTCATGAATTTGACAAATATATAAAATAAAAGTAAGCAGGAATATAATCATAATCTCAACAAAGAGGGCCATAAATATATAGATTGAACAAAGGGTTCTTTATTAAATTACAAGCAATATCAATTTTGTGTGCCCAATAAAGAGTTTATGTAACATTTACGTTTTAAGGAAATGAAAGAGATGGAATTATTGTAAGGCACGTGGTTGAAGGGACGTGTGATATTCGTAGACCTGGGAAAACGGATCGGCCCGGCACTACAGGGCTGGTAGGCTTAAAAGGACAGGCCCTACAGGGCCAAAATTTCAAAAATACCCCAATTTGCTAGGCCCAACCCTTAAGCAAATGGGCTTAGAGCTGGCTTGCAGGCTGTTGGCCCGTTTAAATTTTTTTAAAATTTTTCATATTTTTCATATGTTTTATCAAAAAATAAAAATAAACCATTGAAATTACTAGTAAAAGACATAAATATGAATAAAATTAAGTTACAAATACAAAAGATCATCATACTTAAATGCCCATAAACATACAAAAAATCTAAAACATCCATTAGACATAACAAGTCAATAACGTTAACATCCAAAAGTTTCATTAAAAGTAGACAAATGTTTTCACTAAAAAAAAGTAGACAAACACTATCATCACTATCATCAATTGTAAGAATATTTGATTATGCTTCACTAGGAAAAGGCTCTTCTTAACTTCTAAAAATATCAATGATTTCTTCCCAATACTATTTAGCTACGCTGGAGTCTAATATGTCTTTTTCCATCTTTTTGAATTGAATTTTTTGCCCACCGATAAGTTTATTTAAAAGTGTCAATGTTAAGTTTGTTTTTGAGGTTTCAACTTAACAACTACTAGGGATTGATTCTATGTTGTCTACTTACTACTTCCGATCTTAACCATAAGACCTTGTTTGTAGTCAAACGAGGTCTTATAATTAGGACCGAAGGTAGTATTTTTTTTTCTCATGCTTTAATTATGAAAATCATTTTTCTGCACAATTTCATGGGAAGTCTGAAATATCTTAGTATTTTGGATTGATCCATATTATGCTTTTAATAAACTAACTATGTCGGCCTTTTGTTGCTTTTGTTTAGTCTTCTATGGTCTTGTCTAGCTCGCTTGTCTAACTATTTTTAAATATAAAGTAAAAATTATGATATAGTCACTATAGAAAAAGTGTTAACTTATTTATTAAAATTTTATAACATATACACAAATTGATATGTATATGTTAGTTCAATCATTAAAATTTTTGTTTTAATATGGGGAATATATTTTGTTTATTTTAATATGTAACTGTTGGTTCGAATAAATACAAATTTAAAATCTGATTTGAGATATAGAGAATATATTTTTATTTATTTTAATATCACTAGAGATTGAGATGTGAGTTGAGAGAGAGTGAAAAACTGAAAGTTAAACCTAGAGAATAAGAGTGTGTTAAAATGTTAGGGACTTAGGTTAAGGTCAAGAAAAAAATATAAATTAAGAAAAAAAATTATTGTTAGCGGGCTTAAACGGGCTGGCCCTTTTATCTTTGAGCCCTACAGGGCTGGCCGTTTTAAGTCCAACTTCCTTTTGAAGACTCCAAATTAGAAACTTGGCCTTCAATTTAAACGGGTTTAAAAGAGCCAGCTTGATGGGCTCGGCCCTCTTTCCTGACTCTAGATATTTGATGAGAATTAAAAAAAAATTGTAATATATTAGTTATATTTTTTAATCTAAAGTGGGAGGAGCAAAAGGAAGGATTGGAAT